ATCGTCACGCATGTTTCGTAGTACAGTCTCACGTTGTTAAGTGAGCAGTAGTCTGGCGAGTGATGAGTATTTGCTGAGGTTTCAATAAATCCAACTACATCCTGCCTTAACTTTCTCTTGCGACGGTTATGAAAAAGAATTATAACAAATGACAGATTTTCAGAATTTTCTGAATAGACCTCCTATCGTTTCTATATTGCAATTGGAAAGAAATTTTGTGACGTAAGCAAGCTGGAAAATCTGGGATGTACAGTACCTACATGTACCTTGCTGTGGATACGGGGTTCTTGAAAGAGTTTCTGTTTCTGTTGCATTTCTTCCAAAAGATGGAATTGAAAGCAATTAAGAATTTATTTATTCAGACAATAGTTTAAAAATTTTCGCAGTAATAATAATAGTTGTATTAATTGAAATATTAATATTACCTTTTAAAATCATTATTTTCATGCTCGCAAAGGAAAAAAGCGTCTTTTTGTTGCCGAATACTGTAACACACTACTTCGCTCCAAACGTTTCTTACTCATTATTGTTTTTTTCTTCTTCTTAACTTGCTTAGTGTGGGGTGGAGTCCAACTGGGTCCACTCGGTACGGCGGCCACTGATTGGCCTATTGTAGCCTGCCCCGGGATTTTATGGTGATAGAGAATTTGGTGGAATGAAGTTTGGCAGGGGAGACCGAAGTACTCGGAGAAAACCTGCCTCAGCGCCACTTTAGCCACCAAAAATCCCACTTGACCGAAACCTGGATCGAACCCGGGAAGCCAGAGACTAACCTCTTGAGCTATGACGCTGCCACTCATTATTGTGTCTTCCTCTCATCCATCGTGGTGATACAAAGTGTGTTGCAACAGATGTCTACTGCTGCTTTTGTAACGCTGAAATGTGCAGCTATCGTGGTGATACAAAGTGTGTTGCAACAGATGTCTACTGCTGCTTTTGTAACGCTGAAATGTGCAGCTATCGTGGTGATACAAAGTGTGTTGCAACAGATGTCTACTGCTGCTTTTGTAACGCTGAAATGTGCAGCTATCGTGGTGATACAAAGTGTGTTGCAACAGATGTCTACTGCTGCTTTTGTAACGCTGAAATGTGCAGCTATCGTGGTGATACAAAGTGTGTTGCAACAGATGTCTACTGCTGCTTTTGTAACGCTGAAATGTGCAGCTATCGTGGTGATACAAAGTGTGTTGCAACAGATGTCTACTGCTGCTTTTGTAACGCTGAAATGTGCAGCTATCGTGGTGATACAAAGTGTGTTGCAACAGATGTCTACTGCTGCTTTTGTAACGCTGAAATGTGCAGCTATCGTGGTGATACAAAGTGTGTTGCAACAGATGTCTACTGCTGCTTTTGTAACGCTGAAATGTGCAGCTATCGTGGTGATACAAAGTGTGTTGCAACAGATGTCTACTGCTGCTTTTGTAACGCTGAAATGTGCAGCTATCGTGGTGATACAAAGTGTGTTGCAACAGATGTCTACTGCTGCTTTTGTAACGCTGAAATGTGCAGCTATCGTGGTGATACAAAGTGTGTTGCAACAGATGTCTGCTGCTGCTTTTGTAACGCTGAAATGTGCAGCTATCGTGGTGATACAAAGTGTGTTGCAACAGATGTCTACTGCTGCTTTTGTAACGCTGAAATGTGCAGCTATCGTGGTGATACAAAGTGTGTTGCAACAGATGTCTGCTGCTGCTTTTGTAACGCTGAAATGTGCAGCTATCGTGGTGATACAAAGTGTGTTGCAACAGATGTCTACTGCTGCTTTTGTAACGCTGAAATGTGCAGCTATCGTGGTGATACAAAGTGTGTTGCAACAGATGTCTGCTGCTGCTTTTGTAACGCTGAAATGTGCAGCTATCGTGGTGATACAAAGTGTGTTGCAACAGATGTCTACTGCTGCTTTTGTAACGCTGAAATGTGCAGCTATCGTGGTGATACAAAGTGTGTTGCAACAGATGTCTACTGCTGCTTTTGTAACGCTGAAATGTGCAGCTATCGTGGTGATACAAAGTGTGTTGCAACAGATGTCTACTGCTGCTTTTGTAACGCTGAAATGTGCAGCTATCGTGGTGATACAAAGTGTGTTGCAACAGATGTCTACTGCTGCTTTTGTAACGCTGAAATGTGCAGCTATCGTGGTGATACAAAGTGTGTTGCAACAGATGTCTACTGCTGCTTTTGTAACGCTGAAATGTGCAGCTATCGTGGTGATACAAAGTGTGTTGCAACAGATGTCTACTGCTGCTTTTGTAACGCTGAAATGTGCAGCTATCGTGGTGATACAAAGTGTGTTGCAACAGATGTCTACTGCTGCTTTTGTAACGCTGAAATGTGCAGCTATCGTGGTGATACAAAGTGTGTTGCAACAGATGTCTACTGCTGCTTTTGTAACGCTGAAATGTGCAGCTATCGTGGTGATACAAAGTGTGTTGCAACAGATGTCTACTGCTGCTTTTGTAACGCTGAAATGTGCAGCTATCGTGGTGATACAAAGTGTGTTGCAACAGATGTCTACTGCTGCTTTTGTAACGCTGAAATGTGCAGCTATCGTGGTGATACAAAGTGTGTTGCAACAGATGTCTACTGCTGCTTTTGTAACGCTGAAATGTGCAGCTATCGTGGTGATACAAAGTGTGTTGCAACAGATGTCTACTGCTGCTTTTGTAACGCTGAAATGTGCAGCTATCGTGGTGATACAAAGTGTGTTGCAACAGATGTCTACTGCTGCTTTTGTAACGCTGAAATGTGCAGCTATCGTGGTGATACAAAGTGTGTTGCAACAGATGTCTACTGCTGCTTTTGTAACGCTGAAATGTGCAGCTATCGTGGTGATACAAAGTGTGTTGCAACAGATGTCTACTGCTGCTTTTGTAACGCTGAAATGTGCAGCTATCGTGGTGATACAAAGTGTGTTGCAACAGATGTCTACTGCTGCTTTTGTAACGCTGAAATGTGCAGCTATCGTGGTGATACAAAGTGTGTTGCAACAGATGTCTACTGCTGCTTTTGTAACGCTGAAATGTGCAGCTATCGTGGTGATACAAAGTGTGTTGCAACAGATGTCTACTGCTGCTTTTGTAACGCTGAAATGTGCAGCTATCGTGGTGATACAAAGTGTGTTGCAACAGATGTCTACTGCTGCTTTTGTAACGCTGAAATGTGCAGCTATCGTGGTGATACAAAGTGTGTTGCAACAGATGTCTACTGCTGCTTTTGTAACGCTGAAATGTGCAGCTATCGTGGTGATACAAAGTGTGTTGCAACAGATGTCTACTGCTGCTTTTGTAACGCTGAAATGTGCAGCTATCGTGGTGATACAAAGTGTGTTGCAACAGATGTCTACTGCTGCTTTTGTAACGCTGAAATGTGCAGCTATCGTGGTGATACAAAGTGTGTTGCAACAGATGTCTACTGCTGCTTTTGTAACGCTGAAATGTGCAGCTATCGTGGTGATACAAAGTGTGTTGCAACAGATGTCTACTGCTGCTTTTGTAACGCTGAAATGTGCAGCTATCGTGGTGATACAAAGTGTGTTGCAACAGATGTCTACTGCTGCTTTTGTAACGCTGAAATGTGCAGCTATCGTGGTGATACAAAGTGTGTTGCAACAGATGTCTACTGCTGCTTTTGTAACGCTGAAATGTGCAGCTACTTGTTGCAAAAGTCAGAACATACTGTACTGTCAATAAAAATCACTACAAAACCAGGACTGTCATTGCTAAAACTACAGGCATTTCGAGAGCGTGAGTACGTGTATAAGTTACAGTGTAGAATCTAAAAGGTTCTGACGATGCTGTATAGGGACAGAATTGCTGGGGGTTTGGACTTTTTACATCGTCCGGTATTCTGTTCCATCCGGTTGTCCAGTGATTGAGATTAGCTCTTTTCTAAGGATCCCACCTTAGTATGTCTCTTCCTCCTTCATCTGAGGACGGAAACAATTTCAGTTTCCGAGACGTCTTGTTTTCTGCTTTATAGAATATCGGACGATGGAAAAAGTCCAAAAACCCAGTGATTATGTAAGTTATAATGTATCTCAAACAAACTGTATACGTAAATTATGGACTTCTACTTCCTCTTCTAAATTACCATTTCAAGCCGATGATTATATTACGGACAGTGAGTCAAACCCAACTCTACTGTCGTTAAATTGCGTTAATTTTAAAACTGTAGGAAGAGATAATTCCCCTCTCCCCCCTTAATTAAACCATCCCCCTACGGGATGTTGACCAGTTCCATCTACTTTATAACCACAGGTTTTGCTGCTCCTAATTGCCTTACATTGTCATCGGCATCATTAGTCTTAGAGCAGAGTAATACTTCATCATTAAGGGAAGCAGCCGCCCGTGGAAATAACGAGTGCAATTAATAGCTTTGCTTGCGCCCCAACTGCAGATCTGCTTCTGAACGCCGTTTACATGTAAATCATAAACATTGTACTGTCGCATTTAATCATTTCCCTATTTGAACACAAGGCATATACAGTGACTGATCGCAGCCATTTATATGTCACTTGAGCATACCGGGCATGGCTGTATCATCCAGCATTTTACTTGCATCCTCCCTAAGGTACATTTGCAGAATGTGACTGATCGAGTCAAAATTATGAGCCGGAATAGCTACCGGATTCAGTTCCCGGCAACGGCAAGTGATTTTTCTCTTCTCCAGAGTGTCAGTCCGTTTCTGGGGTCATCACAGCCTCTCATCAAATAGTACTGGGTCACTTTCTCTGTGGGTAGAGGGGCTGGGGCGTGAAGCTGACTACGCTCATAGACGGTCATTTACAAGAAGTAACTTCGAAGTAAGACTTTCGCCTGAATGGCGAACCCTGCTTGGTCTTGATGTATATTTAAGCCAGCTGCAAATATAATCGACTTTTGGAAACATTGTAAACGCGGCTTCAGATCCAGCTGCGCATGTGCCTTGCGCACCCATCGACTGTTCAGACGTGTCGGTGGATCGCGTGCTTAGTGCCGGTTACTTTGTCCCTTTCGGAAACCTCGTAGCGAAAGAGTGGAAGTGGTGAGGTGGAGAAGGTAAAAGCCGCAAGGGAAGGGGACTATAATGGGACTGACTCCAGCATACCGTAACGGCACGCTAAGAAGAATACACCACGACCATCGCACTAGAAATGGAGAAAATGGGAATTGAGTGCTGGGGGAATAGTAAGAACTGTCTAAGTGAGACGTTAGTGTTCCTACATGCTTATGGACGGAAGGGAATGCTGTCTACAGCCATACTCTACTGGGCAGAGAGATCTACATGGGAACTCAGTGAGTACGCCAGTTGCACTCGCCCTGCTCTAGGGCTTAGGTTAATTTCGCAACTGCTTGTAATGCTATGTAGACTAGCAGGATACTTTCCGCTGTATATATACCTATGGAACCTTTTTCAAATATAAAGGTACCACGGAGTTAGGAATCTTAAAACAGTTAACCATCTCATTCATTCATCAGTGGCTCTACAGCCCTTTGTTGGGCCCAGGCCTCTTCTTCAGTCTTGTAATTTTTTTTACACAGACGGTAGGACTCCATGGGCGAGTGATCAGCCCGTCGCAAGGCCGCTACTTACACATAGAACAACACGAACAGAATAAACGCACACAGACATCCATGTCTCGAGTGCGATTCGAACCCAACACCCCAGTGTTCGAGCGAGCGAAGTCAGTTCATGCCTTAGACCGCGCGGCCACCGTGATCGGCGTTAACCATCTGCAGCTTGAATTTAACTGCAGGACTCCACTGTCCATCTGAAAATTAGTCATAGTAGCATTTTTGACAATGTTCGAAGTCCTGTTACTATATACATGTTTAGCTTCAAGGCTGAAGAAGCGCCCATTGTCGGCTATCAGTCGATACTTATTCGTGATTATGGGATGAATTTGGCTGAAATGTATGATGGCATCTGTCTAATGCCCACGTATAGAACAAACAGATTTAACTGGTAGTTTTAGGAGAAAGCAATAAACCGATTTACCGGGATATTGTTGCTGTTGAACCTACTCTTCAGTATCTGCACCGTGAGGCAAAGCCACGGAGAAAAGGGGTAATTCCCTGTCCGAGCCAGTAGGTTCCGGGATAGGGCACTACCCCCCCCCAGTAAAATAAGCTGACTGATTCATCCTACTTACGCCAGACCTTTCGCCGCGCCATAGCTCAAGCGGTTAGTCTCTGGCCTCCCACCGCGGCGGCCTGGGTTCGATCCCGGGGTCTGGTCAGGTGGGATTTGTGGTGGACAAAGTGGCGCTGGGGCAGGTTTTCTCCGAGCACTTCGGTTTACCCTGCCAATCTTCATTCCACCAATTGCTCCACACTCACCCTCACCTATCATCGGGGGCTGGTACAATAGGCCAGAAGTGGCCGCAGTACAAGGGACTTAGTCCCATCCCACTAGCAATAAAAAAAATACGCCAGACCTGACGGAGGCAGCGTGGCCCTCCGAGGAATCAGCAACACAGCCCGCATGTGCACCATGCAGACAATCAACATTAGCAATGAACCTAGAGCCGGGATGATGTTATTCGCCCTGAAACCTTAACAGGTTCTTACAGGGTAGCAGTACTGTTGGGAGTGTGACGTTCTGGTCCAGGAGCGTCTCCTACGGACAGTGGTACAATCGCGGGATTTTGTGAACAAGGTGACAGAATTTCATGGCCAGGTAAGGAATCATCAGCTGCTGAAGAAGACTGCGCATATGCTGATGCATTAGCGTCATATTCACGTGATCCACATATTTGTTCCGTCCGTAGTGACACAAAAGGAGCAAGTAGCTCGAAATGATGACATTGCATGTAGAATTAGTCAGCCAGGGTGTTTATAGCGTTGTGTTTCGTTCCTATAATAAAAAATTGAATGTCCTCCATGAAGTTTGGTCTAGAGCAAGAATCAAACTGGATTGTGTTTAAGTTGAGTTATGTCAAGCAAAGAGAGAGAGAGAGCGAAATAACATTCTCATGTTATAGAATTGCTTTCGGAGACGGAACAGCGTACGGCATAGACCACTGAGTTCGAGTCCAGGTGGTGTCAAGAGTTACCTTCTACCTTTTACAGAGTTGCTTTAGAATATATTATGTATTAATATTAATCATTCGGCCTACTATTTCATTTCCTCTCCTCGAGACAGCCAAAGACATCGAATCATACATTTCAAAATGAACAGCTGAACAATATCCCATAACTTCCGTACATGTGAGCTTTATCTATTGACCATTTCTGTTTTGTTGAGGCCCCTGGTAACAGCCCCGGTCTCTTCCTCCTTAAATCCTGCCCTCGTTATAACTTTCCCCCACACGGTAATCCACGTATGTCAGATATGCAGGAATGTTAAATCAGGCCCTCCTTGTGAACGTGTTCACCGCCATTGTGGTCACCGTTCTAATGTTTGTATAATGACCGAAGTTTAGTCATGTGATCAAGACCATGTAAGTGTGTTCAAAGCCAGGATTTGTCCACGTTCTTTCTTTGATGTAAAAATTAATTAAATACCTTTATTAATTGCAAGTAAATATCTTGAAGTAATATTATATTGTTGCATTATTGGGGGGTAGTTTGATAATAAGGATCCTGAAGTAGGGTCAGGGGAGCGGGGGCAACAAGCGAACAGTAGGCCATTCAGGAGAGAAGGCTGTTTGTGTAGCGCTTCGGATCTGCAATGAAGGAAACCAGTGCTTACTGTTTCTGTGCAGATGACAGCAAAAGCAGTTAGAAAAATGAGAAGACCGTGCAAACATGAACACGGACTTCGCAAATGAAGAGAATATGGCGAAAATTTTAACGACCATAAGAAAATCGGTCTAAGAGAAAAAGTTATTTAATGATCTATGCTTATAAAATATTTAGAATACTATCAGCTAACCAAAGTAATTCACACTTTCCACAAACTTCTCGTAACAATGGAATTTGATTTCAGCGCGAAAAAGGAACTTCTGAGAAAAAACTGAAAAGGATGGGAAATTTTAAGAAATGCAAACTCAAAAGGTCTTTTTTAACTCAAAGACAAGACATCGTTGTTCGCCGTGCGACATACTTGAGAACTGCAAGAAATAATGAGAAAGAAGCAAAGAAGGCATTCGTATATACAGATGAGACCTGGGTTTTCACCTGTTACACACTGCAAGATAGGTTGCGGACGTAATGGTAAAGTGCAGTGCAGGACAGAGGGCGGGGAGGGGGCGTCATAGGTAGGACGCAATGGATTTGTGATTAAAAATCGCAATTGCAAGACCATCATGGTGAACGAACAGCAGAAAGTACGAGAAAAATCTGGAAAGTAATGTATTTTCAGTATGTCACTTGATGGTATAGATGTAATTATAATGACCAAGTCAAGAAAAATGATATGGTAGGCCATGTAGCACGAATGAGAGATAAGAGGAATGCATAAATTAATTGGTTGGAAAGCCAGAAGGAAATAGACCACTAGGAAGACCAAGCCGTAGGTGGGTGAATAATGTTAAAATGGATCTTAGAGAGATAGGATGGGATGATATGAACTGAATTGATCTAGGTCAGGATAGAGATCCGTGGGGGCTCTTGTGAACACGGTAATGAACCTTCGGGTTCCATAAAATGCTGGGAAGTTCTTGAGTAACTGCACAATTGGCGGCTTCTCAAGAAGGGTTCAGCTCCATGAAGTTAGTAATGCCCCACATTACGCGTGCATAATACAGAAGTCCTTCTACGGCTCATCTCATGAGGCTAATGTTGTTGCGTGACTCCGAAATGATAGAATTGCGGGTGATCCGGAGTTACGTAAGGGACTGCGCATACTGTGGACAGAACTTTGCAAGGAACATGCTGTTCAGTGTTGCAGTTTTCCTTCTTTCCATCCATTTCTTTGGAGTCCTTGTTGGGACGCAAATATCTGCTCAGGTGCTGAAGAGTTACCCAGAATTTTATAAAATTCGAAGTTTCATTACTGAGTACAAAATAACCCTCCTATTATTTGTATTCTGAGCAGATGAATCCAGCCCACAGCCCCTCATTTAATTACTTTATGATACGTTTTAATACTATGCTCCCATCTACGCGTATGTCTTCCTATTAGTCTCTTTCCGAAGAAAATTTTGCTTGCAGTTTCCTTCTCCCCCTTGAGTGCTGTGGTGTTTCTCATCTGGCCTCGTGTTGCTTCATCCAACTTAAGTAAGCCCATCTCCTTGCTCTCTTCATCACCCTGGTTTAACTTAAGTCTCGTAGAACGGACATGGAGTTTATGAAAACATAAAATTGCCTTTCCACAAGGCTTAGAAGAAAATGACATGGAGCGGATGGCTGGAATAATGCACAAAGATTGGATAGAACCCCACAATCATGTGAAGGCAGCCGAAGGGGAACGTCGGTCTCGGAGGGGGCTAATGGATTAAGCAACTGAAAACGATTGCGAGTATGGGGTTAGACAGTAGTGCAAGAAGAGCCTAAAGACAGCGACAGTCCAGCAGATTTCAGTGAAGAAGGAGATGAGGAGTCCGAGCTGTTGAATAAAATCAGGAACGACGTTTTTGTATTGTTTTCATTGTCTGACTGTACCCGCAATAGCCATAAAGTGCATATGAACAAAATACCGTGCCCCGCGGGCCAGGGCAATCATACGTTGGCTGACTTTTATAAGCTCATATTCAGTGCCTGACAATACTCGGCTCCCTGTGCTTTGTGTCTTGATGGCCGGGCTAGTGTGTTTGACAGGAGCTGTATAGGCAATCAAGCTGCCCATTGACGCCGCTACATGCATTGTCCGGTGTTTTCACAGACCACCGTATCGATTCGTAGCTGACTCTTTTTGAGTGCGAAACAGGTGCTGTTTCTGATGACCTCTGGCAAAATACCGGTCAGCTGAGTCAGTAAACCGACATTTTTTATGACAAATTCTTTGTTAATTGGCTTACTTAACGAGACTTTTTTCATGGGGTGAAACTGAGTCAACTTGGTACTGCGGCCACTGTTTGGCTTATTGTACCAGCCCCCGATGATAGATGATGATGATTGTGGAGCAGACGGTGGAATGCGAATTGGCAGGGGAAACCCGAAGTACTTGGAGAAAACCTGTCCCAGTGCAACTTTTTCGACCACAAATTCCACATGACTTGACTCGGGCTCGAACTCGGGCCTCCTCAGTGGGAAACTATGGCATTGCCTTTAGCAACACTTCCTTGCATGCCTAGATTATATAGTACCAAATGTCAATATTATTGTCAGTAATGAATTTAAATGTACAATTACAGCAACTGGTGCAATGTACGTATGACACATATTGCGCCCATAGGAAAACCGCGGGGAGT